TATCCACAAAAAAGGCCGATTGCAAAGTGTTTACCTGAAGAGTTCCACGAGAACAGAATTTCCATATTAAAAGCATTTCGTCTTTTTCGTTGAATGCCATTCCAATGAAGGGATTCAGATTGTCATGTACTGCTTGCTTGATCTATTCATCAAATTTGTTCTCATTTATTGTTAATGTAAACGTTTAGCTGATAATGCTAATAATGAATTTTTAAAACAATCCTTAATTGAAAACAGTTATTTAAACGCGATGCGATGGAAGCTAACAATATGAATTAGCTGGAGCGGTTCTTCTCAAATCAAAGTAGTATTTCTATCTTGGAATAATTTCTGTCTTTCATCGATTTTATGATTTCATAACGATGACATTACATCTCTATCATTTTATGTAATATGCGGATGTAGTTCTATAGAACAAAATCTTATCGCAACGCATTTTCATTGATCTCAGCGATGATCTCAAATGTTTTAAACTTCAGCTTTCATTTTCATTGTATGACAGCTGGTGGCATCTCGTCTCACCTGCGTCATCATCTTCATATCCTCTCGGCTGAAGGCAATCGGCCTTTTTTGTGGATAAACGTGGAATGATGCTTGCGTATTGGTACCAACAATGGCTGCGTGTTTCGCGAATGCACTCATACTGCTCATTTTCGTGCGATTCGAAGCAACTGACAACTGAGAAATTTCGAATTTGTAATTGCTCTTTCATAATTGTCACTTTTCGAATTCATTTTGGTGTGACTTTTCACTTAAAGTTTATGATTTCGATGACTTTTTCACAACAAACACTACTATTAATTTTACGGTCGTTCCACTACACAACAAATGTACCGATTCACTGAGAATATATCAGGATGTCAGAAAATTTGTGATATTTATTGTTAGAAAAATTTCTCTCTTGCTTACAACTGATTTCATTTCATCGCCCGATAGGATTCGCATATCATCTCGATAGACTCGCCACGGTGTTTTAGCTAGTGCTTGGTTTTCGCTGAAAATTATATTCATTAAATTACCAAAGTTTTTTTTAGCGATCGGTAAGAAAAATATTGATTGGTGAAGAGATTCTATAAAGATAAATGGATGGTTTTCGAATGTGATTATTAATATAATTTGAACAAAAACCTA